ACACAATATATATATAAATCATAAATATAAGATGCATTTGGAAACTAGCATGACCCCTTGAGTCTTCAAATCTTCAAGGGTCCCCGATGCAACTTCTTTGGCTTGCCTTCTTAGAAACGCCGTCTTCGAGACACCCTGCCAACTATGCATCTACTAGCTACTACGACTAGGAATAATCTAAATATTAAGGTACAAAAATACGCAACGGTACGCAGACCGTATTTAGATTTACAAAAATACATAACGGATCGCGGTCCGTATTTACTATCCTAGTCGGGCCCCACTAGTTGCCATTTTCACAAAACCTGTGAAACAATATTCATTCCATTCATCCATTCACTATAAGTAAATGGCCCATGTATTTTACAACGAAAAATAAGTAATAATGCATAACACGAGTAAACTAGTAACTAACTTAGGTGGTTAATCCAATTAATGCGCCTAATTTAAACTAGTCAAAGTTGTTAAATATTTTATGTGATTAAAACGCAATTAGTTCATGCAATTAACGAAGCTCCCACTAAATTCCGCATCCAACTTAATTAATCCAATTAATTAAGTCGGTTAACCCAAATTTTGTGAAAATTAAAATTTTGCAAAAGTCGAAAAAACCGAGGCCTAGCCTCGTTAAAATAATTAAATAAAATTAAAACGGCAAAAATTTTGCAAAACCCGATAGCCCAATTCAAGCAAGAAATTGACCCACCCAAAATTCGTGGGATGCGCACCATGGCTGCCTTGCAGCGCTTGGGAGTTGTGGATGCATGTGCTAGGTGCTGGCATGCTTGCCCATCAACGCATGCCACACTTGCTGGCACCAGCAGCTTGCTACGCATGCTACGCTTGCTAGCGCTGGCAGGCGAATGGTTGGCTTGTTGGGGCTTGCTGCATCGCTGCCCAGCAGCACGCACAAGCATGGCCAGCAGCCATCCACCAAGCACACAACAACGCACACAAGACCAGCCACACAGCAGCAGCTGCATCTCGAGGTGGAGCACCCTTATGCGCACCTAAGGTAGCCACATGTGGGCTGTGTGAGCAGCCCGACTAACCTTGGTGGCGCTTGGGTATTTTTGCCTTGATTTGCGTGCCTTTTTTCGGAATTTTAATCCCGTTATACGTGTGACATAAAATTAATTCTAAATTTATTTTAGAATCAATTTAGGGCAAAAATGAAAATAAAACAAGTCCGACTTAAGTATATTCAATTTTAATGGTGCAAAAGCCTAAATTATTCAAGAACCATTCTTTAAATTAATTTAGGTCTATCTTGATGCTACAAAATTGAAGGGCTACCCTCATAATCAATTTAACTAATTATAAATTACTAATGAGATTTGACAAAATTAAGGAGGTTAGAAAAATAAACCCTTTCATCCAATGAAAAATTTCCAATAACAACTTGTGCATAATTGAAAATTTACATCTTCCAATATGAAGATTAATTAACTTTCAATAACAATTTTTGAATTTTTAGGACTTTAATCATCTCAAACATGATTAAATCCAAAAATTAGTTTAACATGGAATTTAGAAATCAAAGTTCCAACCAAATAAACAATTAAATATTGGATCTTTAAGATATAAGGGACTTCAAAATTACAAGTTCACCATAAACATTCACACTTGAAGCAATTTATTTGCAAAAATGTGCAAATTTCAAGTTTATGTGAAAAATGAAGTCACCAAATTAAGCACCAATTATGACTTCATAAACATGCTTAATAAGTTATATAATTGCAGTAGATTAGTGATGCAACCATACATTTAGTCTACCTTTAACATGCCATAATTAATCAAGGTTTAAGGATTTAAAATTTTTCGTCAAAAACGAAAAACCCCTCGAAAAACATGTTTCTGGGTGGATTTTGGTTTCTGCAAAATCTAAAAAGGTCAGATTTAGAAAATTGATTCCACCCAAAAATCACTATTTTTGATTTGAAATCTGGGTTCGTCAGCCAAAATTAATAAAAATACGAGATTAAAACTAATTAAAACGAGCTTCTAATCTAAATAGAAAGCAAAACCAGAATTAAAATCCATTTTAAATCACCTCAATTAATTATTAGTTACAATAATTAAAATGAGCGCGACTCCGATACCGCTGTTGGGTTTCGTAGCGTCCAACGCTACGCGGAAGAGAAACTCGCCCAAGACCCGCTCACTAATTAAAGTAACTAAATATTTAATCACATAATTAACAACATAAAAGAAAGAAAGGGAAATGACATTCTTACCCTCGACGCTTGCTTCGCTCCTATAGAGCTGGACTTCAAAGCCTTAGCGCCGCAAGCGCGAGAGCCTCCGACAGAGTCCACCCTCGAGACCCCAGCTGAACGGCCTCTACCCCGGAGGTTAGCCGGGGCTAGACCAAGATAAGACTAGAGTATTACGAACTTAGATGTTTTCTCACCTAAAGGGAGATGCCTCATTGAGTTCAACTCAAATGTCCCTTCGCAATCCGAAATGATGGGTATATATAGGGAAGGGAGCTCTTGAACTTCAATCTCCCATCCATGTGGGAGAGTTGGTAAAATGCATTTTATCCAATTTTTTTTTAATTCAAAAATCAAATTGAAATGCAAGTGAATCAACAAATGACAAGTGTCAAGAGGTGAGCAAGGGGTTAGGCGAGGACCACAAGGGGGAACCATTCTCCCCTTGCTCCCTAAGCAAAACCCTCAATATTGGTCCTCACACAAAACCGCACCACCACGCAACTTGGCTGGCTGGAAGCCTGCCTTGGCTGCCATGGCTTCCAACAGGCGCCTAGCACCAAGCCAGCTAGCGCATGCTGCTACTTGGTGCGTGCTGATGCTATGCGAGTGGCGTGGTGCTTGGTGCTGCTCGCTAGCACACACGCACAGCCCACCATGCCTAGCACGGTGTTGTTGGGTGCGTGATGCTGCTATGCGAGAGCGCTGCTCAGCACACAAGCATGCCCAGCCACAGCACGCTGTGATGCCTAGCACGCAAGCATGCTGCGATGCGTGGTTGCTATGCGAGAGGCTACGATGTGCTGGGCTATGCCCAGCATGCTGCTATGCTAGCGATGATGCGGCTGGTGCTGCTATGCTAGCCAACACGCCTAGCCACGCATGCAAGGCCAAAACACACACACGCATGGCACGCATCTTGCGATGCTCGTGCTGTGCGATGTGCATGTGCTAGGCAATGCCAGGCACGCTAGCACGCATGCGGTTTGGCACCTCGCCTAGCCTAGCACTTGCATGGCTAGACCAATGCGATGCTATGGCTTAGCTCGTACTTGTCGCTTGCTTAATTCCACGTCTCGTCGAATACTAATTTTGACTCGACTTACGACGCTAGGTCTCAATATTATTGATCGGAAGCGGCCTCCATCTAGGAATTCCGATCACTTGACCTCACTAAAGAATTAGCTTTCTAATAATTCTGAACCCTCTATTGGAATGATACACTTGCTGGAAGGACACCATTCCTTTCAAACATATATATAGAGGGGTAAAAGTCTCAGGGGCAACCTTGACATTTACTCTGGAAGGTAAACAATAAAAATACTGTCCACCCGTGCATGTATGACACTTGTCACAAGCTTCATGTGGCGCGCCACGTCACCCGTGTGTGGGGCAAATGATTTGGGTATTTTTACCCCGCCGCGCGGACCAGTCGGAGCGTGACATGTGTCACCCTAGGGAGAGCCCAAAGTGGACCTACTAGGGCTAGACACATGGCAGGGAGATACCCCATATGGAATTGGCGGTCTTCAAGGCCTAATTCCCTAGACTGCCCAAAAACGGCGCAGCCCATTAGTCCTAGGTTTCCGTAACCTAGAACAGAGGCACAAATCCCAATAACCTTATAAATAGGGAGATTTACCCCACTTTGGAAAACACATTCAATGATTGCACCATAATCAATTCTTTCACATCAGAAAAAAAACACCTAATCTCGGAATCTGAGAAGATTTCACTTTACTTTCCGCACCTTTTTACATTCTCCGTACACGTTCTAACTTGATCGTCGGAGGCGGAACTCCACCCGACCAGAGTCTCCGTTGTATTGCAGGTACAGGCGCCTGGAATCCAGTCTTAGTGACGTAACTCTCTCAAGGGACACAGAAAACCCCGAAACACTAGTGAATGTGGAATTAAAATCCGTAGTAGTACTAGGAAGGTAGAAAATAAGTTGACTTATCCTGATGTTAAAAAGGGTGTTGTACTTATTATATATCTGGTTTATAAAAAGAAGGTTTTGTCTATAATAATAAGATAGATAAAAAAGTTGTTTTTAAGAAAAAGGTGTTGTTTTTAAGAAAAAGACAATTAGGAGAATTGGTTGTCCTGCTATGATCAAGTTTTAAATATTGTGGTGAGGAAAGTATGTGGTTTATTTCTTTCATGAAAGCCATTGTCAGCCCTTCTCAAATCTTACTACCAGATAAGTCACTAAACTATATGATGGCTTAACTTGTGTTCATAGGAAGTTTATATTTGATCATTCAAAGTTGAACATTAGTGTTGTTATGTCTTATAGGATGATGAAATAATGTTAAGGAGGTTATAATCATGTGAGAGGCACTAAAAATAAATTTAAAAACTTTTCTCGTGACTTAAAAGTTTGTATTTCTAAAGCTGATGGGGCTATGTTTATAGAAAATCTTCAACATAAAGTCAAAAACAGTAATGGTGGTTAATATTTGGACTATTTTGTTGATGCAACTAGGCATCTAACAGGAGTTTTTTGGGCTGATCCCATAGGAAGAAAGAACTTTTTATTCCATTTCTTTTGATACCTCATATGATACAAATAAATACTCCTTAGTGTTCTGCCCTTTTACTAGAGTTGACCATCATAAACGATGTGTCACATTTTGTGCAGCCTTGTTATCTAAAGAAGATGTGAAATCTTTTGTATAGCTTTTTCAGAATTTTCTAAAGTGTATGGGAAATGAGTCTTCTTGCCTTATTACTAATCAAGACTCTGCAATGGGTATTACAATACAGAAAGTTTTAACGAAAATGAAACATCGATTGTGCATGTGGCACATCATGAGAAAAGTACCTGAGAAAGTGGGTACAACTTTTGGTAATGTCACTGACTTTTTGAAAGAACTTTATGCTATTGTTTGGGACAAGGAAATTGAACCTAATCAGTTTGTTGATGGTTGGAATACCTGTGATCGAAAAATATGATTTGGTAGCACATGAATGGTTTACTTGTATGTTCAAGATCAAGCATCTCTAGATCCCAGCCTATTTTATGGATTTATTATGGGTGGTTTGTTAAGATCTACCTCTAGATCTGGGGGTGAAAACAACTTTTTTTGTTATTCACAAATCCTCATGTGTCATGTGTTAAGTTTCTCCTTCGGTACGAAACAACCTTAGATGCACAAAGGCATGAGCAAGATGAACAGAATAGACAGAACAAGCATATGCCTAAACTGATCACTCCATTAAAGTTAGAGAAGCATGGTTATTCAGTTTACACTCGTTCTGTTTTCTATGAATTTCAACAAGAATCCAAGGCTGCTTATTTTTCTTATGGTGTTGAGAGCTGTAATTCTACTTATGGTGATGGAGTTGAGTTTTCCGTTGTTGTAGATAATGAACGTCAAAGGAATTTGATGTTACATTTTATTTATCTATACAAGAGTGTACTTGTACTTGCAAGATGTTTGAGAGTCAGGGTGTTCAGTACAGACATATATTATTCATTATGAAAGGTAAATCAGTATCTGAAATCCCTAAACATTATGTTTTGAATCGTTGGAGAAAAGATGTTAAGAAGAAACCTACATCAGCGGATGAGGCTTCTAACTTTGACAAAAAAAAGCAACTAATCTTTAATGTGTGGTCGAAAATGTTCTTCTGTGTTAGTCTAGCAAAGGGTTGTGATGATGATCTGTCTGATTTTGTTAAGTACTTGTCTTCATTTGAGGTAGAGCTTATGAAAAAAGAATAATGGTGAAGGTATGTTACTTTTAACTTTGTTTTATTTACTTTTACTTAAATTTTATTTACTTTACTACAACTTATGTAGTTTTTGAATCTCATGTATAAGTTTCAAAGAAGGCAAAGAAGCTAGTATCCAGCTCTTTGTTGGATCTAATGTTGTTGATGTAGATATCTTGCCTCCAAGTCAATGCCTCAACAAAAGGTCTACTAGAAGTTATAAACGCTTGAAGAGTGTCAAAGAGGTAGTTGTTTCTCATGACAATAGAAACTGTCCAAATAAGTAGTTTGTAAGGTATGTTACTTTTAACATTGTTTTATTTACTTTTATTTGATATTTGTTTAATTCTACAACTTATGTACTTTTTGTTAATTTATTTCAGGTTCAAGTGGAATAGGCAGCTTCCATTATTGGATTGATGTAGTTGATGTTAAATATGCATTGAAGTTCATAAAATATTTTTACTTTTTTGTAATACATCTTTTTAGGAATTTTGAGTTTTTCTACCACCAAAACTCCCTGTTTTGACTTTTTCTACCTATTTAAAAGTTTATTTTAGTTTTCTACCTCTAAAAGTTACATCATATAGATTTTGCTACCATTTAACAAAATCTATTAAGATTCCGTTAAGTGGGATTCATTATTTTATTATATAATGATTTAATTTATGAAAAAAAAAATTTTAAAAAAATAATATAAATCCTAGCCACTGCCTCACTGTCAACCACCCCTCCCCATGCCGGCTGCCGGCGCCAAAACAATCCCTAGTGCCAGCGACCTCACACCCTCATTTTCCCCCACCCACGCTGTCAACCCCCTTCCCCTTTCCCACTAAAAACCAACCCTTAAAACCACCACAATCGCCTACGCTGCATCCACAACCACCACTTCACCGCAAACACTCTTCTTCACCGCCCGCGTTCAGGCCAACACCATACCCTTTTTTAATTTTTTTTTAAAAAAAACACCTTTAGCTTTTTGAAGATGAACTTGGGGTTTCTTTTGGTGGGTGTTGCAGCAGCAGCATAACAACACACAATTGGAATTTTGTGGGGTTAATTGAAGCAAAGGCTTTAGGTTTTTGAAGATGAATTTGGGGTTTCAAACTTTTAATGGTGCCACCAAATGAAACTGTAAGTAGGTTACAGGCATTGTTGGGGACTCAAAGAGGAGAGAAAATTGGGTTAAGGGTATGAATAGGATTATGGGAAGTGGGATATGCTTACCTTAAGGGCAGCACGAGTGGGGGAAAAGGAGGGGGTGGGGTCACCGATGGTCGGGGATCGTTTGGGCGCCCGAAGCCAGCACGGGGAGGGGGGAGGGGTGGCTGGATGGTTGATGGACGGTGACTGGGCACCACTAACAGAAATAATAACTAATTCTGTTAAGTGGTAGAAAAAACCTATGTTTTTTGCTTTTAGGTGGTAGTAAAATAAAATAAAAATTTAGATTGGTAGCAAAAGTCAAAATGGTGTATTTTAGTGTTAGCAAAAGTCAAATTTTCCTTTTTTTTTTTTATATTGTTCACTAAATTTACTTTAAGCATTTTGTTTTTAACTTTGTAATACATTTCATTTACTTTAAGATTTTTCTGCATTTCAATTACTTTTTTATATCATTTTGTAACTAATAGAATTTAATATTTGTCCTTAGTTATATATATTGATCTCAAATTTATCTTACAATCATTTTATCTATAATTTATGTTACAAGTCATTTATGAATAATGTTACACATTATGCAAATAATTTTCGTTTACTGTTAACAATGTTTTTTTTACTTTTGAAGACTTTTCTTTTACTTTTCATGGAAAAGAATATTTAATAACACATACACTTTTATTTAATAAAAATATACACCACATAACAGTGAATAAACCAAATAGACACACAACATAAAAGTAATTCTCAAAGCTCAAATAAAAATATCTATTACTGTAATAGATAATACTTTTACTTTAAAAGTTATTTCATTTACTTTTAAAAACGTTTTGTTTACTTTTAAACTTATATGCAAATATATTAACAAACATTTTTTTCCCTTAGTAATTAACTTTGAATCACTAAAATTTTGCAATTAGGGTCATTTTGTATAATTGAAAAAAAAGGAGGTCACCATTGGTGCGTAGCAAAAGTTAGGGGTCACCATTGAGAATTTTCCTATATAATCCTTGCAAATCCTTCCTCCAACCATCATTTAAATCCATTAGACATCACAAAATTCAAATCCTTAATATAAACATCATACTATCCTTGACACTAATATTAAAACTATACATCTATGCTGTCCCAATCTTCTTTTTCTTCACCACCACCATTTCTATCTATTCCTTATTTTTCCCTTTTTTAGCTTTGTTTTCTTCTGCTTCCTAAAATATTAATGAAGTTAAAGAGTTAGTTGAAGTTTGTAAAAAAACAAAAATTATTATATTTTATATGAAAAAAAAAGAAAAAAAAATATCATTCTTACTTTCATTTTCTTTAACTCCCATTCTTCAACATTTGCAAGTAGTTTGGTTTGCATTTGGTTTTCTTCATCGAGAAATATTAGAAGCAGTGTTGTTATATAATGGTGTTTCAATCTTTTAAATTCCTGGAAAGTAACCAAAGATAAACAAAACGCTCAAAAACTTAAGACAATGCTTCTAGTGATGCATATATGAATATTTAAACTTAAAAAAATAGAAATGTCAACTCGCATGTTTAATAGAACCCAGTCCCAAGCCATTCACACCATCATAAGCCTTCATGTGCAGTAATAAATAACTTCCAGAGTAATTGTCTTGCCTTACTTTCTGGAATGAAAGTTCTATTAATCTGACATTGTAGTTCAACATTTCTTCTACCTTTGGATGCTTTCTTTTCTTGTAAAATTTTTTGAATTTAATTTACCTGCAACATATATATTGTTGTTAGATAACATTGAAACAGAATATATTGCCAAAAATTTAAATTATATTATTGTGCTTACTGTCTCTTTATTAAAATTCTTGATTGATTCGTTCTCATTCCTCAGTATCCTCGTACTCTATGCTGTCCAAGTGATCAATTGTTTCATTTCTGAAGTTTATGACATCAACGAAATAATGATCTTCCTTCTTCAAAGGAAGAAATACCTACAAACCAAATTATTCAATCTTTATATTTAATGAATTGTTTATTTACTTTTAAGATATCTACTTTAACTTTATACAATGTTTTATTTACTTTAAAAAAAGTTCTCTTTAACTTACACATTCAGCTGCATCCAAGTCCAATGCTTAAGTTTTTGTCCATTCTTCCTATATCTTTTGAAGTTGGGTCACTCCCCTTTTCCCATTTCCTCTCAAACAAACAGATAAAGCTGCCTGCAAATTTTTTCCAAGTTAATTTAGCATACTTACAGAGCTTGTATTTTTGTATTATAAACATAAAGGAAAATCCAAAGTATTATTGTATTTTTGTATCAAATACCATGTGGTCAAATCCAAAGTAGAATCTGACTAGATGATTCTCAGGCCTTTCTCTCTCTTTTTCGTAACAGTTGAGGTGGAAAGCTCAAGCAGTAATCAAAATATTTGTAACTTTCCATCCATCCAGCAATGAATTACAAACCTCTCTTATTATTTCAATTGATTCACCAAACCAACCTACAACTTCACTGTAATATGTTTATCATTAGAATAATTTTATTTGCAAATACGAAAAAATAATTTTTTTTTAATAATTTCATACCCTTTGTTTAGCAAGTTGTCATCATTGATAGCTACATAGTCAATCACTTTGTTAAACTATAAGCTCATGTTTTCTACACAGTCCTTGTTTTATTTCAAGAAATCTGACACATAAATCATTTCCTTCAACTCTGAAAACTCGGCATTCACATCAAGTTTTTTGCTCACTTTGAACTTTGAAACTTTATCTATAATGGCATCTCTATTTGAATTGATATCTGACAGAACAAGGGAATCACATATTTCTGTACGATACAACTTCCTTCTGTTGGCCAACCCCAAGTCTCTATTAAAAGATTCCCCAGTGAAGCACATCATATGTACCATACAGAAAACACCGCAATCAAGTGTTTATTTTGTTAATTTCCTAGGAAAAGATACATTGTCAAACTCATAAGACATTATATCTTCAGCTTTTGGATACTCTAGTTTGTTCATAAACTCTGACATTTCTTCCACCAGGAATAATTGAAATTAAATCATTTTATTTACTTTAGAAGTGTTATTATTTACTATTACATGTAAATTATTAACTTTAAAATTATTCATACTTAATAATAAAAATAGAAAGCTATTTACTTTTAATATAGATTTCAGTTTAAGTACAAAATCATAACACAGTAGATGCAACATTTTTATAGTAATCCATATCAGTTTTTTCATAGATTATGTTATCCAAGTACTGGAAGCTTCCTTTCCACATGTTAACCACCACCACACTATAATGGAGATTCAACAAAATTGGGATAAACACCTGAGATTCAAATTGTATTTGTTAGTTTTTTTTTTTTTTTTTTTTTTTTTTTTTTTTTTTTTTTTTGGAATCAGATTTATACTACATTAGAGAAAACTTACCAAATCAACCTCCATAAACTGGTGTTTTGCATTTCACATTGGAGCCAATCTAACCAAGCTTAGCTTAATTCAACCAAAACTAATCTAGGAGAACGATCTTTAGCCTCTTAAGGAGTTTTCTAAGACACGAGAGAAATCTCCAGTGGTCTTTGCATAGTCATGAAAACACAAAACACACTATGTATTTAGTATATATTATGTATGTATTCTATTCTTTTTCAATGTATCACTTACATTGTGGTCAATTCCAAATAAAAAGCATGATGGTTTGGCCCTCAATCTTGGTTTATTCATTAAAAATTACCATGCTTGAATAATGCTTGAATTTATCAATTAATTTCGGACTGTTGGTGCCAAAGTTGTCATATCATCCCTTAGAGTTTCAAATGAAACAAGTTTATCACTATATAATTAAAAAAAACAAGTTATTTTATTAATATTAAAATTAAAGAGGAATTTGAAAAAAAGAAGTAAATAAAACAATGCTAAAAGTAAAAGAATAATATTACCTTTTCATTGATTTATCTTTCAGAAAACAATAGTCAACCACCACTAGAAGCAATTCTGGCATTTCTTGCATTCTGCTTTTGTTACTCTTCATACACTTGCATACGTAATTCACTTCAGTCCTTGTTTTCCCACAATCCACACCACATAACACTGAATCTTAGAAGCAAATTCATTCAAAAAGTTGAATGGATGTTCTGATGCCTAGTTTCTAGTATTTGCATCAACTACTACACTCACATCAGCTTCCTCCTCTTGTTCCTTTTCATCCTTCTCTTTCACCTTCTCATCTTCCTTTTACTCTTCTTTGTTATCTTGTTTCT